ACTTCATCCAATTCTAAGTCTTCCCAGGAGTCTCAGAATCCTAGAACCTTAAGATAATTCCTGCATGACTGCACTTATTTTCAGGACTGTCTTAATCCATTATGTAGTCTAGTCATACAGTCAGAAGGGACTCTCCTCTCCCCAAAAGCCAGGTGTTTTACCACTTGAACCACAACTCCACTTCTGGCTTTTTGCTGGTTAATTTTTTTTGTCAGTCGTGGGCCTGGGCACTGTCCCTCAACTCTTCAGCTCAAGGCAAGCGCTCTACCACTTGAGCGCCACACAGCGCCACTTCTAGTTTTCTGGTTGTTTATTGGACTTTTCCTGCCCAGGCTGGCTTTGAACCGCGATCCTCAGATCCCAGCCTCTTAATAGGATTAGCCACCAGTGCCTGGCTCTGAACTGAATGCACGTGTGTGTGTGTGTGTGTGTGTGTGTGTGTGTGTGTGTGTGTGTGTGTATGTATGTTTGTGTCTGTCCTGGGGCTTGAACTCAGGGCCTGGGCACTATCCCTGAGATTTGTTTTTGTTCAAGGCTAGCAATTTACTACTTGAGCAACAGCTCCTCTTCCTGCTTTTTGGTGGTTAATTGAAGACAAGAGACTTTTCTCCTCAGGCTGGCTTTGAACTGTGACCCTCAGATCTCAGCCTCCTGAGTAACTAGGATTTCACATGTGAGCCAGCAGTGATCAGCCACAAAAAGGTTTATTTTTTATTTATTTTTTGTCAGTCATGCGGTTTGAACTCTGGGCCTGGGTGCTGTTCCTAAGCTCTTCAGGTCAAGGCTAGTGTTCTACCACCTGAGCCACAGAGCCACTTCTAAAAGTTTTTTTTTAAATAAAATATTTCTAAGCTGAGTACTGGTAGCTCAGGCCTATATTAATAGATACTCAGAAAGCTGACAACTGCAGATCATGGTATGAAGCCAGCCTGGGCAGGAAACTGTGAGACTCTTATCTCCAATAAACTACCAAAAGGCTGGAAATGGAGCTGTGGGTCAAGTGATAGAGCTCTAGTCTTGAGCAACAAAAACAAAAAAGTCAGTGATGGCCCTGAGTTCAAGCCCTAGGACTGACACACACAAAAAATAATTCTGAAATTGCTAGGGGCCTGTGACTCACTCCTGTAATCAGGAGGCTGATATCTGAAGATTATGTCTCAAAGCCAGCCTGAGTAGGAAAGTGTGAAACTTTTATCTCCAATTAATCACTAAAAAGACAGAAGTGGAACTATGGTTCAATTGCTCTTGAGATCAAGCTCTAGGACTAGAAAAAAAAGTTTCAAAACTATACCAGAATAGAATTAGACTCAGTTGACAAACCTCTGGGGGGGGGGGGGGGGGGAGGTGCGCGTGCACACACATGCGTGCACTCGCCAATATTACGACTTGAATTCATGGTCTAGGCGCTGTCCCTTGGCTTTTTCTCTTAAGGCTGGTACTTTACCATTTGAGCCACAGCTTCACTTCCAGCTTTTTGGTGGTTAATTGGAAGTAAGAGTCCCAGGGACTTTGCTTCCCAGATTGGCTTTGAACAATGAACCTCTAATCTCAGCCTCATGAGCAAACCTTCTTATCAGAATACAGGTACCCTGTAATGTTACCTTCTCAGAAAAACATGAAATTATGACTGAGATTGTCAGTACAAGTATGTCAACATCTTTTTCTAAAATTGTTTCTTCATATAGTGATAGACATTTTTTTTGCGGGGGGGGGGGGGGTCGGTGGTAGGGCTTGAACTCTGGGCTTGGGCACTGTCAGCTCAGGGCCAGTGCTCTACCATTTGAGCCATAACAGCATTTCTGGTTTTCTGGTAGTAACTTATTGGAGATAAGGGTCTCATAGACTTTCCTGCCCAGGCTGGCTTTGAACATTGATCCTCAGATCTCAGCCTCCTGAGTAGCTAGGATTACAGGCTTGAGCCACCAGTGCCCAGCTTATTTTATTGTTTTTTGTTTTTTAACTATTTTTTTTTTTCTTTTTTGGTACTGGGGATTGAACCCAGGATGTTGCACTTGGTAGGCAAGCACTTTGTCACTGAGCTAGCCTTATTTTGTTTTTAAATAGTTGTACAAAGGAATTGCCACTAAAAGTTTATGAACACAATGCATCTTGATCTCCCCTTTCAACCTTCTCACCAATCCCTCCCAGCCAATCCCTCCCCTTGCTCTGAAAATCTTTTGAAGAGTAGCTAGAGAGTTTTCAAGACTATCTGAATTGGGCTGGGAAGGTGGCTCAGTGGCCTTGCATGCATGAGGCCCTGGGTTCGATTCCTCAGCACCACATTGGCAAAAAGAAAAAAGCTGGAAATGGTACTGTGGCTCAAGTGGTTAGAGCGCTAGCCTTGAGCTGAAGAGCTGAGGGACAGCCCAGAGTTCAGGCCCCATGACCCGACCCAAAAGAAAGAAAAAAAAAAACTATCTGAATCCTAATCGTGGTGAGATGTCACCACAAGAAGACAGGAAAGGAGTATAAATGTCACTTAAATATGTTACAATCCAATCAATTATAGCTGAATCTCTTCTCAAGAGACATATGTGAATAGAAGAGGTATACTCAACATGTAAATTAGAACAGAAGAGTCATGAGAGGTTCTCCAATAGTTTTCAGGAGAGTCCTGATCCAGGATTATTAATAGCCCAGGAGTTTTCTGGAAAACACGAGCCTTTTTCTTACAAGGGCAAATACATTGTGTTCCTAGAACTGTGGTACTAGTCACGGAGTAGGAACAACTCATTCTTTTGTCTTGATTTCAAGGCTCCTTCACTCTATTCTCCTTTCTCTCTCTCTCTCTCTCTCTCTCTGTCTTCCCCTCCTCCTTTTGCCCTCCCCCCTTTCTTTTCCTTCCTCTCCCCCTCTCTCTGGCAGAACTAGGGTTTGAACTAACACTAATCAAACTCCCACACCGTCTTGTTTTACTTTTCAAATAGGATCTTAATCCCCATCTCTGTGGGCAAAATTGGATTTGATCTTGCTACTGCATTTCCCATATAACTGGGAAAAAACACATGAAGCACTACAGTTTGAAAGTTGCACAAACTTTTTGCCATGTCTGACTTTAAGCTCTTGAGTAGCTAGGATTACAGGCATTAGCTGCTGTACCCAGCAACATTCATATTTTCTTATGGAAAGAATGAACAAATGGACCATCAACACAGAACATAGAAGTTTGATGCTTTAGCCATTTCAATTCACTTAGTAAGTGGACATTGCCTCTGTTTTGTCAATCTATTGTGAGTCTGGTAACCTTAAGTGTTTCTTTTGTTGGTGGTGGTGGTCATGGGACTTGCACTCTGGGCCTGGTCACTGTCCCTCAGCTCTTCAGCTCAAGGCTGTTGCGCTACCACTTGAGCCACAGCACCACTTCTGGTTTTCTGGTAGTTTATTCGAGTCTCACGGCGTTTCCTGCCTGGGCTGACTTTGAACTCCGATCCTCAGATCTCAGCCTCCTGAGTAGCTAGGATTACAGATGTTGAGCCTCCGGCACCTAGCTAGGAATGGGAGATTTTAAACAATACCTTCAAGGTATTTAGTAAGGACTGGAAGTTCAGGAGATTGGAAGGATCCAGGATGAACAGTGTAATGTGCTACCAAAAAAACATGTACTTCAGCCAGGTGCTGGTGGTTCACGCCTGTAATCCTAGCTACGCAGGAAGCTGAAATCTGAGATCCCATTGAAGTCAGGCTGGACAGGAAAGTCCATGAAACTCATCTCCAATTAACTACCAGAAAAACGAAAAGTTGGAGCTGTGGCTTAACGTGGTAGGGCGCTAGCCTTGAGCAAACAGAGCTCAAGGACAGTGGCCAGGCCCTGAGTTCAAGACCCATGACTGACCAAAAAAAAAAAAAAAGGTTCACATGAATGGTTGTAGTTGACAAAGATGTTACACCATTCATACATCCCAATGAGCTGGGAAACTCAGAAATCATTACTCCGTTTAAAAATGGGAAAGAAATCAAGGTAGCCACTTGTTTCGCTCCTATCATCACAGCCCCACGAAGGTGGGGCTGGAAACCAAGAACTGGAAGAAGACCACGACGGAACAGGAAGCAACATTCCTCCCTAACGTGAAGGTCTCAGAAATAAACTCCCGTTTATAAACGGCTTGTTTCCAGGCTTTTGGAAGGCCAATCATTTAACACACATAGCTCTGCCAAGAGAGCCTTAGAAAAATGCACTTGCAAAACCTCACAGTCTAGCTGGGGCAAAACAGGAACGCGACATCCCTTGGGATTCAAGAGTGGAACAGATCCCAGGGATGCCACTCGGACCAACAGCCACCAGGGCCGAAACAAGATGGTGGCGGGAAGAGGGCCGCTCTGTCTTTGCGAGCGACACTCTATGGCACCGCGGAGGCCTAGAGTTTGGGAAAGTGAAGCTACGGTGGGCGGTGACCCAACCACACTGGCACGCTACGCCACAGGAGCGGGGCGAAAAGCGACCTCCCGCGCATGTGTGGAGCTGGGGAGGGCGGGGGGGGGGGGGGGGGGAGAAGAGATGCCGGAACTGGAGGCCCACCCCACAGTTTTCTGGCCGTGTGGGTCGTTTAAGTCCAGTGAAAGCCGAGGTGGGGCGTTTCCTCAGGCGCATGCGTTGTAGACACGACAAGCGCTAGAGTGGCGTGGTCTTTTCAACGCTGGGCGTACAGGCGACGTCTGAAGTGGAAGGGGCGGTTAGGATCCCCAATACGCATGCGTTCTGCGACTGAGGCGTTTCCTTCAGAGGGTGTGGAGTGCAGGGGTTTTTTATTGCGCAGACGCAAGGACTGTCCCGTAGGGCAAGTGGTCTCTCAAGGCTGGGAAGGAGGAGATTGAAGGGCTTAAAAAACCGGGTGCGCCTGCGCGTTGCTGACTGGTTGGAAACGCTCTGGGTTTGCTAGGGGCGGGGCCACGTATGCGCGTCACTGGATGGGTAGTGGGAGAGAGGGTGGAGACCGGGGAGGGGCTATGCGCTTGCGCAGTGCGGGGGTGGAGGGCGGAGGATCTAGCTAGCACGCCTGCGCGGCTGTCATAGGGCTGCTTGGTTGGTCAGTGGGAAGTCGGCGCCTGCGTGCTAAGACCCGTGTGCAGCAGCGGCGGCGGCGGTAGAGGCGGCGGCGGCGGCGGCGGCGGCAGCGGGCTCGGAGGCAGCGGTTGGGCTCGCGGCGAGTGGACGGGGTCGAGTCAGTGCGTTCCCGCGAGGTGAGAGCGAGCACGGTGCGCCTGCGCGGAACCTCGATTTGGGCCAGGAAGGAGAGATGGAACTGCGCGGGGGTCGGGGAGGGGGCAGAGGGGAGCGGCAGCCACCGCCACACAGGTTCGGCCTGGGAGCGGCGCGCGGTGCGGAGAGGCGCGGGCGCGCGGCCCGGTTGGCCCGCGGGGTGACGGTTGGGGCCGGCCGGGTGACGTTGGAACGACGCAGGGCGGGGGGACGGCGAGCCGCGAGGCCGCCACGCGGGAGAGGCCGCCAGGCGGCCACTCCGGGGAGAGGGCCGGGGGCCACATCGGCCCCGCTGGGACAGGGGTCCCAGGGCCGTTGAGGACCCGGCGCCGCGCGGCCACGTGAGGTGGGGGAGGGGGCTGCGCGGGGAGAGGGCATGTGGGGGGGTGCTGGTGGCCGGGAGGGGGGGAGGGGAGGCGGCGTGACTCCGGCCTGGTGCAGCCTTTGGGGAGGGGGCGGCCGCGGCACCGGAAGTGGCCTCCACGGGAGGCTGGTCTCGGGGTCGAAGGCCGCATGGCCAAACGTGGACCGGGACCGCATGGAAGCGCGGAGACCCCTCCCCCCCGGTCCCGGCCACCGGAAGCCCCGGGCGGCCACATGGTGGGCGGGAGCCGGCAACCCTCGGCGCGAGGAGGGCAGGTCCTCGCGGACGTCTGAGAGAGCCTGGGATTTTGAGGTGCGGGAGAAGCCCGAGGCCCGGGTCACGATTACTCTGCCGGGCCCGCTGGAGGCATATGTTAGCCTACCCAGACCTCATGGGCCCCCGGCGCTTCCCCTCCGGTCTTCGCGTGAAGTGAGGCAACCAGCCAGGTGTAAGTGGCACTTCTGAGCTGGGGAGGCCGGAGAAATGGAGAGACCGAGGGCGACTGGGTAGCCCCCCTCTCCTCTGTCCCTATCCGTAGCGCCTTGAAAGTCTGGTGCAGAGGACTTCCCAGTGATCTGCACTATTCACCTTGTCACTGTCTTCCCCCGTTGTATGTGACTGGGAAAGAGATCCTCGATTTCAAGAGTCCCTAACTCTTAGTATAGCCTAGTGTGATGCTCTACTACTCACTACTACGAACCTTTTAGTTTCATTTTATTGTCATTCACCACCCCTCACTCTCCCACTTTCTACTGACTGTACAGGCCTGGCCTGAAAAGCCGACAGGACCGGTGCATCCTGGGAAAAAGGGGAGGGCCTTCGAGGAAAGAGGCTGTTCCTGGGTTCCCTTCGGGAGCTGAGATGGAGCTGGATGGTGTGGAGGGAAATGAGCAAAGCAACTTTTACTTTTTCTTCTTGGCTGCATCTACTACTGCATGTTGCGGCGGGAATCCCCCAAAGAGGCCTTGTGGTTTTCCTGTGCCAATGATTAGCTTGTGTGTGGATGGGGGGGGTGTAAGCCGGGTGGGGCCTTGTGCTCCAGTCTCCACCCTCCTGATTAGCCGCGCCCCTTTGCTGGCTCATAGCTGCTCACCTAATTATAGCCCTGGCCATGTGTGGGGAAGAGGGGTGGCTGGTTTCAGTGGCAAGTAACACCTGAGTCCTCCCTCCCCCTAGGAAGTAGGTCTTTCCTCATCTGTGAGAGTTGGCATCTCAACTCCCTGGAGCCTTCCTTTCCCAAGCCACCACTTTAAGCTTTCATTTGGAGGGAGAAGCCAGATACTGCTCCCACAAACACATCAGCTCTAAAGTGTATATACTCCCAGTCCTTATTAGTGCAAGAACTGTACATTTATTTTAGGTTGGGGGAAATGGAGCAATGCTTCTAAGAGAAGAATGGGATACATTTGAATGGGATATTACCCTTCATCCTCACTAACCCCAGTTCTCTTCTTGGCTTTAGTTGGAATCGAAGCCTCTTAAAATGGCAGATGATTTGGACTTCGAGACAGGAGATGCAGGGGCCTCAGCCACCTTCCCAATGCAGTGCTCAGCATTACGTAAGAATGGCTTTGTGGTGCTTAAGGGCCGGCCATGTAAGATCGTGGAGATGTCTACTTCGAAGACTGGCAAGCATGGCCATGCCAAGGTTAGAATTTTATATCTGCAATTCTTCCCTGCACCTTTTATCATCCATAGGGCTGACAGCAAGCTACTCAGTCTTGACCCTGACCTTTTATTTTTTTTTTTAAGCTTTTAGTCCTTTTGTTCACATAGCCTTTATACCCATTCAGACTACACCTACTTCCCAGTCTTCAGCCTCTTCCATGGAACACTTTTTATGTTCTCATCATGTGTGGTACTACTTTATTATCTTTTGCCAGTTGCTTAAGTTCTGTTTTTAGGACCCTTTATGTTCTGGTGGTTCCTTTATTCTTGGTGCTCCTGTTTCTCTGAACCTTTGTGGGTTTTGTTTCTATTTATCCGGTTTCTTGGATCTTAACATGGAAGGCAGCATTTGCTTGGAGGCCTCCACGGTGAGGTTATGTGTGTTTTCATGTTTTCTGGGTGTGAACTCTGGGCCTGGGCACTTGTCTCTGCTTTTTTGTTCAAGGCTAGTCCTCTACCATTTGAGTCAAAAGTCCATTTTCTGGCTTTCTGGTGCTTAATTGGATATGTGCCTCATGGACTTTCTTGTCCAGGCTGGTTTCCAGCAACAGTACTCAGATCTTAGCCTCCTGACTAGGATTACAATTATAAGCCACCAGCCCCAGCTATCTGGGTTTTTTTTGGGGGGGGGGGTCCAGTTGTGGGGCCTGAACTCTGGGCCTGGGCGCTGTCCCTCAGCTTTTCAGCTCAAGGCTAGCGCTCTACCACTTGAGCCACAGTGCCACTTCCAGATTTTTTCTTTTTGCTTATGTGGTGCTGAGGAATCGAACCCAGGGCCTCATGCATGCAAGGCAAGCACTCTACCACTGAGCCACCTTCCCAGCCCGCTATCTGAATTTTTAAAGTAACTGGCAACTTTTCTCCCCAGTTAGAGCTTTCCCTTTGGAACACTATAGTCTCAAACTTGCCTGCCATTGCCTACTCTCAAGTTCCTTGAGCTTCTCTGCTGACAACTTGACATTTTGATTGAGCTTGGCACTTCAGGCTTCCCTGTATATGTTTAACCTGGCTCTTCGTGAGTTTGTAGTTTTGTTCCCTTCTGTTGACTGGCCATTGATTCTAGGTTATTTTCTAGTGTTTAGATTCTTCTTTGACTTCCTTATTTTCTAACTGCAGATTTTATTCTAATCTTTCATTCCTTATTTTCTCTCAGGCCTTTTCTTTCTATTCCCCTTGTTTTCTAAGTCTTTAGCCCTTTGTGTGAGTGTCCAGAAAAACATAACTCCTAGACTGCTGGCGTTTTGTCAGTGCTTTTTTTTTTTTTTTGGATTGGTCATGGGGCTTGAACTCTGGGCCTGGATGCTGGCCCTCAGCTCTTCAACTCAAGGCAAGTGTTCTACCACTTGAGCCACAGCACCAATTCTGGTTTTCTGGTGAATAATTGGGAGATAAGAGTCTCATGGAGGGCTGGGAAGGTGGCTCTGTGGTAGAGTGCTTACCTTGCCTGTGTGAGGCCATGGGTTGGGATTCCTCAGCACCACATAAGCAGGAAAAGTTGGAAGTAGCTTAAGTGGTAGAGCACTACCCTTGAGTTGAAGAGATGAGGGACAATGCCCAGGCCCAGAGTTCAGGTCCCATGACCAACCAAAAAAAACAGGTGTCTCATGGACTTTGCTGCCCAGGCTGGCTCAAAGTGTAATCCTCAGCTCTCAGCCTCCTGAGTAGCTAGGATTACAGGTGTGAGCCACCTGCATCTGGCAGTTAGTGTTTTTGTTTTGTTTTTTTTTTAAGTAATAACTCAAGGTACTGGACTTCCCCAAGTCTGCTCTTCCACTTTTCCCGGGCTATCAGCCCAAATCTCATTAGTGGCTTTTCTTTCTTTCTTCCTTTTTTTTTTTTTTTCCAGTTGTGGGGCCTGAACTCTGGGCCTGTGCGCTGTCCCTCAGCTCTTCAGCTCAAGACTAGTGCTCTACCATTTGAGCCACAGCACCACTTCCAGCTTTTTCTGCTTATGTGGTGCTAAGGAATTGAATCCAGGGCCTCCTCATGCATGCAAGGCAAGCACTCTACTACTGAGCCACCTTTCCAGCCCCTCATTAGTGACTTTTAATCTCAGGGTCTTTTTTTGTTTGTTTTAATGTTTCTTTGCCGAGTTGACTGGTTTATTTACTTCCAACTCCCCTAATCTTTGTTCTAATAAGGTGGTAGACTTATTCTATTAGACAACAACAACATGAACTTTTTTTTTCTGTCAGTCATGGGGCTTGAACTCTGGGTCTGGGCGCTGTCCCTCAGCTCTTCAGCTCAAGGCAAGCACTCTACCACTTGAGCTACAGCGCCACTTCCCGTTTTCTAGTGGTTTTATCGGAGATAAGAGTCTCACAGACTTTCCTGCCTGGGCTGGCTTTGAACTGTGATCCTCAGATTTCAGCCTCCTGAGTAGCTAGGATTACAGGCATGAGCCACTGGCGCCCACATTAACTTTTATCTTCTCTGTGCTAGAGTTGGTTGAATTTCTCTTTATGAATACACACAGGTCCATCTGGTTGGTATTGACATCTTCACTGGGAAGAAATATGAAGATATCTGCCCGTCAACTCATAATATGGATGTCCCCAACATCAAAAGGAATGACTTCCAGGTATGTAGGTGTATAAGATGGCAATGGGTAATGGTTTAGGGGAGGGGTTTATGTGGATTGCTGAGAAGTTGTGAGAGGGGAGAAATGGCATAAGATACTGGTTGTAGTTAGTTGGCACTCTAGTTTACCAGATATGTCAGGCTACATAGGTCTGCCTTCAACTTGGTTCCCTATCTGTCCTCAGCTTATTGGCATCCAGGATGGGTATCTATCACTGCTCCAGGACAGTGGGGAGGTGCGAGAGGACCTTCGTCTGCCCGAGGGTGACCTTGGCAAGGAGATTGAGCAGAAGTATGACTGTGGAGAAGAGATCCTGGTAGGTTGCCCCTTCCCCCCATTGTATGCTTTATGGGCTTCAAATTATGAGTTGTAGTATCTCTAGACTTCTTTCTCTCCCAGATCACGGTGCTGTCTGCCATGACAGAGGAGGCAGCTGTTGCAATCAAGGCCATGGCAAAATAACTGGCTCCCAGGTTAGTAACAGTCCTCACATTATACATTTATCCTGTTTAAACGTTACTGGGCTGGCTTTCTAACCCTAATTTAGTCCTGTTCTCCCTACCCTTCTTGTTTAAGTTATTACCATGTTTTAATAAGGTTTTTCTTTTTTACTTAGGATGGTGGTGGTGGCAGCAGTGATCCTTGAGCCTGCAGAGGCCCCTCCCCCAGCCTGGCCCCTCTCTGGTGGGGCCCTTGGCCGGATTCCTCCTATACAATTTATTTGATGTTTTATTTTGGTTTTACCCATCCCCTCAAACTGTCGGGGAACCCCTGCCCTTCACCTAGCTCCCTTGGCCAGGAGCGAGGGAGCCATGGCTTTGGAGAAGCTGCCTTCCTCTTCTCCCCTCGCACTACAGCCCTGGTGGGGGAAAGGGGTGGGTGCTGCTTGTGGTTTCATTTTGGGGTTTTGGTTTTGTTTTTTTTTTTGTTTTTTTTTTTTTAATTCAATTGGAATCAGAAGCTGTGGATTCTGGCAAATAATCCTTTTGCCCTCCCCACCCTGTCCCTGGTCTAGTCCCATTCTCCATAGCCCTTTGCCCCAAGCACCACAGATTGGGGACCAGTCCCCTCCCCTGTCTGTGTCTCCCAAACCCCTTTGTACGGGGGAGGGAAAGAGAGGGGAGGGGATTTTGCCCCCATGGGCTTTACCCTTTCCTGTGGGCTCTCTCCCCGACACATTTGTTAAAATCGAACCTGAATAAAACTACAAGTTTAATATGAAGCCCCCAACTCAGTTGCTTATTTGAGTTAAATGTGTATTGACTGAGCCTTGGGAAGCAAAAAAAGAAACAGCAGCAGCCAGGGACAGTGGGAGATGCATTTTATTGGCCTGGGGGAGACTCTTGCCCATGGGGAATGGGAAGGGTAGGTTGAAGGCACACTTCACTTGTGGTAAAACCGAGGATTCTGGCTGTGTTGGATGAAGGGTAGCCGAGGCCCAGCTTGGCTGGTAGTGGCAAAGCCTGACTGATGAAAGAAGGGCTGTCAGTGGGTAGACTAGCCTTCTACTTCACACATTAAGAAGTGACAACTCGATAGGAGCCACCAGTTCCTATTTCCCTGGTAGTATGGGACTAATTACTATCCTTACCTTTCCTGCTGGTTGCATCTGCACAGGGAGCTGAGGGGAGGCAAGGAGTCCAGGGGCTGGATGCAGAGCCTGGGGATGCATGGGACGCAGGGAAGACTGCAGAAGACAGTGATAACCTGAAGCATACTGGGCCTACCCCTCCCCACTCCCACTCCCAAGGCTTCAGTACTCACTGAATCAGAGAAGCCAGTCTGCTGGTTAGCATGTTCTATCTGCTTTTGCAAGGACAGAGCACCACCAGGCTGGAGGAACCCTATATAGGAAGAAGGGATTATGAAGTGAGTATACAATGAAGATGGACCCATGGAGCCAGGCCTCCTGCCCAGGATGTTATCACCTGTCTGGGTGGGCTGAAAGTGGCCGTGCACTGCATAGGGCTGTGGCTGTGGCTGTGATAGGTACTGCACTGCAGGAAATGCTGAAGGTGCTGAGAAAGGCAAGAGACACAGCCATTAGAACTTCCTTTCACTTCTAACGTTCTTTTCCTCTGGGCTCTAAGGAAAGATCCACTCCATCTTCCCAACACTCACCTCTAAGCTGCTGACTAGGACTATAGGTTGGCTGTGTGGGTCCATAGTGAGGAGGGGGCTGAGCTGTCCCATAGGCACCACCTGGGCTTCCCTGGAATTGTCCATGCTCTGGGGTCCCTGTGAAAGCAGCTGCTGAGCCCACGTAGTGCCGAGTCTAGAAGGAAGGATGAAAACTCAGTGGAAACTTGAAACTGTGTTCTATCTCTTCACTTTCCTCGTATCCAATGCATGCATGCTTGGTATGTTTGAAGTTTGAATGATGGTGGCCACTATGCCAGGGAGAAAAGTAGAGAAAAGCAACTAGGTCTACACATTTACCGTAAGCACTTGAGGTCCAAACATCTGTTTAGCTCTGTCAGCTGCCATGAGGGTGCCTGGGCGATTGTGTCCACCAGGGCTTCCTAGAGAAAGAGAGACTTGATGCTGAAATGGGAGGCTGCAACCTCCAGGAGGGCCTCTTGTGTCAGGTGTTTCTAATTCCTCACCCTGCATGCTGAGGAGGTGAGTTCCTGTGTGAACTGTCAGGCTCTGCTGATAAGCAGCTGATGTCAGAGTGGTCAGGTCACTACAGTGAAAGAAAAGCAGGTCGAAGTCAAGGACATGTGGCCCCTCCTGTTCTTACATTTTTTTTGGGGGGGGGGGGTCTGGTCATGGGGCCTGAACTCTGGGCCTGGGCGCTGTCCCTCAGCTCTTTAGCTCAAGGCTAGTGCTCTATCACTTGAGCCACAGTGCCATTTCCGGCTTTTTTCTTTTTGCTTATGTGGTGCTGAGGAATCGAACCCAGGGCCTCAGGCATGCAAGGCAAGCGCTCTACCACTGAGCCACCTTCCCAGCCCAACACTATTTTGGTGCCAGTCCTGTAACTTGAACTTAAGGCTTTGACACTGTCCCTGAACTTTTTCACTCAAAGCTGGTGCTCTATCACTGGAACCACAGCTCTGGACTCTTGTTGGTTAACTGAAGATAAGAGTCTCATACTTGTATGCCTGAGGTGGCTTTGAACCATAATCTTCAGATCTTAGGCTCCTGAGTAGCTACAATTACAGGCGTGAGCCACCTGGCTAGACATTTTTATTTTTTGTTGGTTGTGGGGCTTGGGCTGTGGGCCTGGGCACTGTCCCTCAGCTCTTCAGCTCAAGAAAAGCCCTCTACCACTTGAGCCACAATGCCACTTCAGATTTTCTGATGGCTATTGAAGATAAGGATCTCAGACTTTCCTAGCAGGGCTGGCTTTGAACTGGGATCCTCAGATCTCAGCCTCCTGAGTAGCTAGGGTTACAGGTGTGAGCCACAAGTGCCCGGTGACACTAATTCTTGATTCCACTCTGCCTTCACATTTACATTTCACTAAGTATCACCTTTGCTCCTTCCGTCTCCGTTTCTCTTCCTCATGCAAAACTTTCTTGAGCTGAAGGAAAAGCTGGTGCTTCTCTTCCTGGAGGGCCAAAAGCTTCTCCTGCAACTTCAGAATCTGGAAAAGGAGGGAAGATGGGATAGAGGTAGGAAGAGCCAAGGAAAAAGCCAGAGGCTTGGAGACATCAGGGCCTGCATACTTGTTCCTTGGTCTCTTCTAGTGACATTCTCTCTTCCATCTCTTTTTTCTTTCTTCTCTCCTGTTCTTCTTTCATCTTCTGTTCCATCATTTTGTCCACCTCTTCCTCTTCTGGAGAATTAGCATGAAGGGGGAAGTGGCAGAGTGGTGAAAATAATATGAATGTTAGACTTGACAAAGTTAAGTTTCCTCACTGATGTGGGCACTAGCTAGGCCATACCTCTATTCCCAACCATGCAGTAGGGAAACAGGCTTTTAAGGTGCTCTCCAAGGTCCTTCCCAGCCCAGACCACAACCAGGCGGCACCATTCCCTCCCTGCCTCCTCCTTCCTTGCCCAGCAGACGCATAGCTGGGCTGGTGCATGGAGGCCAGCACTGGGATAGTGTAGCCGCCATGGTCGGTGTGCTCGACCTCCCACTCTGGCCCTGGCTCACCCTGCCGCTTGCGCTCCCGCTCCATCATGATGTGCCGGTGCAGGGCCCTGGCCATGGCGTTGGAAAGCTTGGGGCGCTCCAGGAGCGCAGGCATGGTGCTGCCGGGAGCGCTCGGGCCGCAGGCGCCCGGCTCTGTCACTGACTGGAGAGCTTGGCTGGGGCCTGCTGGGAAGCAGACACTCAGGAAGAACGCACTCGTCCCAGGCGGAAGCTCTTCGGCGCGGCCCGCTCGCCACTCGGGTCACGTGTTCCGAGCGCCCGCGCTCGTCGGGGCCACCGTTCCCGCCCCGGCGCGCGCTGGCCGCGCGGGGGTCCTTGGCTTGGCGCCCACACCCCTCCGCGCTGCCTGGGCACCAGCTCCACCCTACCCGCCTTCTCGGCTCTCTTCGCGGCCTCAGGGGCGCCTGATTCTCTACGTCACTTCCGGATGCCAGACCGACTCCTTCCGGAGTCACAGCAGGGAACAGACCTCGCCGGTTGGGCAAGGAACCCGGAAGCGCGGGAGGACGGGGGCCGCACCTCCAAGCCCCGGGCTCGGGGTCCCGCTCGGGCGGCGAGGCAGCCGGCCTCGGAGCTCTTTACTTCGAGATCGCGGGCGCTGAGTGGCGCGCGAGACAGAGGCGGAGGCAGATACTCTGAGAGCGTTTATTGGCTCCTTAGAAATCAAGAGTCAGTATCAACTGTACAGAGCCCGCGTCTTCCTTGGGCCCGCCCTTCCGTCCCCACTCCCACCCCATTGCCCGGGGGAAAAAGCAGCTTCGCGTGGGCACAGGGAGAGACCCCTTTGGAATTCACAGTAACCAGAAACAAAAAAACGGAAATAAATTAAGTGATATGGGGAGGGGAGTAATAGGGAGTCATGTTCCCCAAGTCAGTGCATGAAGGGGATCCAGGGCCTGGTGCTGGGCTCCCCATGAACTCATTCTCCAGCAGAGGAAGTGTGCTGGGCCCTGGCCGTGGAAATGTGCCCCACTTCCCATGTGAATCTGAGAGCTTGCCTAGTGCTCCCATGTCTGCCAGGACAGCACCTGTGCATGCCATGAGTCACTGGAATGAGGTGGAGGCAGTCTTCACTCAAGAGTCCAGGGCCTAGGCCCAGCTGTGCTTGTAGTAGTGGCGTTTCACCCCTCATTCCACCCGTACCAGCAGGGCATAGAGGAGTGTGGCCCCCTTCTCCTTTGTGACCCATTCAAGTTCGGCCGGGCTAAAGTGTGGGTCCGGGGGTTCTCGGAGTGCAGCAGAAGGAGGGCCAGGGGTGTAGGAGCCAGGGCGCACACACACCTGGAACGCCACCTGGGCCTGATGCGTCCGCTGGGATTTAGGGTCCCGGAATCTGTCAGATATGAAGTAGAAATAATTCAAACCCAAGCACTACCAAAAAACCCCAAAACAAATGAACTAGGGGACTGAGGTCTCCTAGTTCTCTTGCTCTCCTAGCTAATCCCTCTCACCACAGAATTGGTTGTTCCTAAGAAATACTCCTGGCTTAAGGGATTCAGCTCCAGCTGTACTGTTGGAAACCCTCTTCCTTCTCAAAGTTTGCTTAACTAACTCCACCACCCTCATGCCTTCACTCAAACCTCACCTATGCCCACCCTGACACTCTGTTTAATAAAGTATAACCACCCCAAATGGTATTCTCATCCACTTCACCTGTCTTTGTTTCCATACTGTTGACTTACCACCTTAAAAAATACTAAAGAGGCCAGGCACCAGTGGCTCATACCTGTAATCCTAGCTATCAGGAGGCTGAGATCTGAGGATTGTGGTTCAAAGCCAGCTTGGGCAGAAAAAGTACATGAGACTTTTTTTTTTTTTTTGTCGGTCGTGGGGCTTGAACTCTGGGCCTGGGCGCTGTCCCTCAGCTCTTCAGCTCAAGGCGAGTGCTTTACCACTTGAGCTACAGTGCCACTTCCGGTTTTCTGGTGGTTTATTGGAGATAGGAGTCTCACAGTCTCTCCTGCCCCGGATGGCTTTGAACTGCGATCCTCAGATCTCAGCCTCCTGAGTAGCTAGGATTACAGGCGTGAGCCAACAGCGCCCGGCTACATGAGACTCTTATCTCCAATAAACCACTCAGAAAATGAAGTGGCGCTGTGGCTCAAGTGGTAATGCTTGCCTTGAGCTAAAGAGCGGAGGGACAGTGCCCAGGCCCAGAGTTCAAGCCCCACGACTGACCCCCAAAAAAGACTTCATTATATGCTATATACATTCTGGAGAAGCCAGGTGCTAGTGGCTCATGGCTGACACCTGTAATCCTACCTACTCAGGAGGCTGAGATCTAAGGATTGAGGTTTGAAGCCAGTTGAGGCAGAAAAGTCTGTGAGACTATTTCCAGTTAATGAACAAAAAGCCAGAAGTGGAGCTGTGGTTGAGCTCCAGCCTTGAGTGAAAAAGCTGAACAAAAGCTTAGCTCTTAGGGCCTAAGTCCAGTTCTCAGTACAGACACATGCACAAAAAGACCAAAAACAAACAAAAAAAAAAACTAAAGAGAATACATAAATTTCACAAGAGCAACGCTCTTGTTTTCTTTTACTAAGCATGTGGTGACTTCAATGAATAAATGAAGAGAGGGCTTAGCTGGAAAAGCAGCAACTAGTAAACTAGGGTGGGAAGAGATGGGGTGGCAAATCGTAAGGACCCAAGGGGCCATGAGTTCCCCCAGCCATTGTACTCACTGCACTTTGGAGGCCAGGGGCTCGGCCCCAGCATATTGAAGGGAGGGAGAGAGCAGCACTGGAGGGGGTTGCTCCTCCCGGGGAGGTGCACAGTTCTCACCAGGCTCCTCAAACCCCACTCCCGGCTCTCCCTTCAAGGGCCGGCAGCTCAGGATGGAGGCACTTCCTGTGAGGACAACTGGGGTCAGCACAGTTCTCCTAGGACTCCCAGCCCAGCCTGTCCCACCTCTGCCTGCTCCACAGTACCTGCTCCCAGTTCCCCTCGGTCCAGCACCCTCCGTACAGCTGCCACATTGCTCCCATGATATGCCATGTGCCACTTTTTGGTTAGTGTCCCAGCTTCCAGGCGGGGATTCACTCTATGATAGGACAGACAGGACAAAGGTCAGTGGGTCCCCAAGGTCATCCTCAACACATAAAGTTCTTTTTTTGCCAGCTCTGGGGCTTGAACTCAGGGCCTGGGCACTGTCCCTGAGCTGCTTTTGCTCAAAGCTAGCCACAGCGCCACTTCTGGCTTTTTGTTTATGTGGTACTGAGGAATCAAACTCAGGGCTTCACGCGTGCTTGGCAAATACTCTACCACTAAGCCACTTTCTCAGCCCCATTCTATCATTTTTTTGTGTGTACCTCCTCTTGGGACTCTTCTGCAAGATGGCAAAAAAGCAGCAGGGAAAATGCATGAGTCTGGTCCAAATGTACCTGAGGTTGAACCTGCACCAGCCAAAGGGCAGGGCATATTCTCGTGGGGGCTCCCCTCTGCGCCTGTGGGCCTCATCTCCTCGAAGCTTCCGGCAAGATTCACAGTAGCACAGGCTACGCTTCGGTGGAGGCATGAAATAATCCTCTGTGGGAAAGTGACAAGCTTAGTTTCAACCACACTGCTGCCCTCCAAGCCAGCCTCCAGGACTGACTATGGCCATAGTCTAGCCATGGGAATGTGGTGGTTTCTAGGAGACCAGAACTCACCAGGAAGCAGCAGCAGTTCTTGGAAGCGGGAGCAAAGGGCGTGGTACTCGCAGCTCTTTAGAGGGCTAGCAGTGGGTGGTGGACCCCAGCACACACTCTCCTTGATACCTGAGGGAACAGAGGTCTCAGTAGGCAGGGCTAGAAGGACCAGAGTTGGGGAGGGGGAAGGGAGGAAGGGTAGGATCATGGTCCCTTTAGGCGGGTGTATGTACCATCCACCATGTCAGCTTTCTCCATGTCCCCTTGGGTTCCAGCACTTTTCCCATTGGCAGCCCCTGGCTCAGGACTCACAATTGTCACCTGCAGGGCACAGAGGTGGTCAGCCAGAGCTTGTTCAACACCCCAGGGCCTGCTGATTTCCTCTGTGGACTATATACACACTTCCTAGTTTCCCCATTCCAGTGCTACTAACCTGCTCACACTGCCCATAGAGGTCCACAAGTGCATGGCAGGGCTGGGGCACGTCAGGTACAGCTACCCCCTGGTCCACCCCATTGACATGGAGATGCAGGCCCCCAGAGCTGTCTAGCCGCAGTCCCAGGATGGTGCCTTCAGGACACGTATCCAGATTTGGCCCAAACTTCTCGCAGATCTGGGAAGAGAGAACCACTGTCTTCCAGACATCAGATTCACTCCTCCAGCAGCCATCCAGCTCCTCACTGCTTCTGGGTGTGATCAATCTTTGGGCTTTCCTCCACCCTTACCCACCTGCAATTTAATTACGTAGAGTCCCCTCTCTTAGCCCCAAATATAACATTCTCAACAGCAGGGGCACAAGAGTAAGGAACAGGCCTAAACGTGATCATGTAAACAACACGTGCTCAGCCACACACACAGCTGCCCCCTTCAGACCTGAGGTACTACCCCCCCAGGGCTGTGGGTTTCCTTTGCTATTGGAGGCATGGCTCACTCCACTCTTTGGCTCCCTCCTCACCTTGAGACCATTGTGGAAAACACCTCGGCCGCGCAACAGCCAGGCTGCCCGTTTGAGGGCACAGGCAGAGGCAGGGAAATTGAGCCTCTCTGGTGGGCAGGTGATGACTCCCAGTACAAGGGAAGATGTCCACTGTCGGTTCAAGAAGTCTATCCGCACCTGAAAGAAAAGAAACTAATCTACAACCATGGCCTCCTGGGTAGAGGCCACTCACCTAGCCTTTCAGCCCAAGGCAGGGAGGGCCTGGATGATACTTAGTAGACCTAGACCAGAAAGCACAAACTCAAGGGTTTCTTTCGTGTGTGTGTGTATGTGTACACGTACTGGGGCTTGAACTCAGAGTCTCAGCACTCTCTCCATCATTTGTACTCATGGCTAATGAGCCGTGGCTCTGAGTTCCAGCTTTTTGCTAGTTAATTGGAGATAAGAGTATCTGGGGCTTTTCTGCTCAGGCTGGCTCCCAATCCCAATCCTCAGATCTCAATCTCCTAAGAAGCTATTACTACAGGCATGAATCAATGGTACCTGGCCCTCATTTTTCCCCTCCTTTGCTAGAAATTGAACTCAAGACTTGGGACATGCTAATACTCTACCACTGAGCCATATTCCCCACGTAATCCTTTTTTTTTTTTTTTTTTCTTTTTTTTTTCGTGGGGCCTGAACTCTGGGCCTGGGCGCTGTCCCTCAGCTCTTCAGCTCAAGGCTAGTGCTCTACCACTTGAGCCACAGCGCCACTTCCGGCTTTTTTCTTTTTGCTTATGTGGTGCTGAGGAATCGAA